CCTGAATTCTTGAAACTAAGCACAGCACCCTTCCAGAACAAAATTCCTCATAGAGAGGAAGAAAATGACCTACTATGAACTGAACTACCAAATTAAAACTTATCAGAACAAAGGCAATAGAAATTAAGAAAAGAAAAATTCTATATCACTGTGGGAGGAGAACTGAGCCAAAAGAAGCTCATTTAGTATTTTATTATTTTAGTATTTTTAAGAACTAACTGAAAAAAAAAAAGATAAGAGAGCTCTGTGAAGTGAGAAAAGCTATTCTGAAACAAGCTCCCTTTTAAATTTTAAGAAATTTATGAAAATTTAATTTTTTATGTAAAATCAAACCTTGAATATATAGCTAACTGTATAGAAGTGAAATTAAATGAAGAGACTATACGATATGATAGAGGTATGTCAGGACAAAGAAGATAGATATAGTAAATTTGCAATTTAAATGAGGACAAAAAGAATGCATTTACAAATCTTTCGAGTATGTTCGGTAATTTTAGTTTTCAAAGTATTACGTTGTTATGTGGAAACCAACTTGGGTATGATGTAGGATATGGCAAGTGAGTAACAATCAAATATTGTAATTTTATCACCCACCTCTGTACCTGAAAAGAGAATTCTGAAGGTGAAAGGAAAGAGGTAAAGATGTAATATAGCACAGGCAAGTAGACCTGAAGCCCAAATTTAGATCAGAAATCAGGATAATTCATTAAGCATTTTATTTATCTGTTGATCAATTAACTGTTCTATCCATGTTTATTTTTCTCCTAAGTTTCATTTACAAAATTGTGTAGGAAAAAAAATCATAAAAATGAACATTGCTAGCATTCATACTGTAGACTAAAATATCTTGTCCCACTAAAGATAACGAGAGATTGGAGAAATGGCTGATTCCAGGTCTAAGGGTGGAAAAACACAAAATGAACCCGGAATATCTTGTCATCACAAAGACTATTAGGATCACATCAAAAGGAGATGAGATTCAACTGAAGAGATACTATAACTAAAGACAGGATGATATGAGATTCAAAATGGATTGATTTATATTAAAGGCTTGAAACCATCAAATATGTTTAAATACATGTTTAAACACATGACACTTAAACAATAATCTAGTTACTTTCAGGGGAAGAGAGGTAACAAATTATCTGGAAATCTATAAAATAAAAGGGAAGGTCAAGCATTTACCTTGTTTTTACACAGTGTTATTTTTATTACTATTTTATTAATTAAGTAATAATTAATAATAATTAAAATAATGGAATTAATATTGTGTTAAGTTAACAAATAGCAAACACTATTAGTAATTAATAGATGAGGGAAAATGAAACTATATGTTAGGATTCAATGGTCAAAATAGATGTAGGCATTAAGCATTAAAAGAAAGACAAGCTAGAAAATCAAAATCATATGTGATCGTACTCCAAAAATCTAACCTAAGTCTATTTCTTCCAACTTGCAGAAAATATAGAAAGCAGTAGAACATATGAATTGGAAAATGAGCATATAATCAGAAAAAACAAGACAGAGAAAATTTGCAATTTAAATGCCTTGTGTTTTTCAACTTGATAAATTGTAAGGAAAAGAAGAAGACTAGTTTTCACCTGTTATTAAGAAGCTTAAGAGAAATACCAAATTTTAAGAAAATACATAATACTATAGTGTTTAGGGTTGCGTGTTTAGGTAGTGAAAAGGTAAATATACACAAGAAAATGATTGCATAAAACACAGGATTTTGTTTATTTTTTTAGGATTTGTCTGAAATCTAGCAAATGGAAGGGCTTCTGGACTCTTAATCTATAATTCTGTTGTTCTATAACTACCTTTTATCTAATTAAAATATCTAGTTAAGATAAGATATTTTATGTCTAATATTATAGATACTTGCATATCTAATTTTGTAAAATTAAATGGTCTTTTACACTTAGTGTTAACATGATTTTTATTTAAACATAGTATCCAATAATTTTTGTATCTATAATATACACAATAATATATTAAATGGCTATAACACAATTATTTTATTGTAACTAAATTTATCCATTATTTTTAGACAAATTTTTTATTTTTAAAATATTATAAACTGTGCTATATTGACCATAGCTAAAATTTGCTAAACATATATATATGTTTATATATATATATGTGTGTGTATATATATATATGTACGTATATATGTTTATATACGTACATATATATATATATGATTTTTAGGCTAAATAATATTAAAAAAATAAGAATTTGGTGTGTATTAATAAATTAATCTTCCAGAAATTTTGTACCAATTTACATTTTCTTTTCTATTTTCTGTAATTTGCCAACTGCTTGCAATCTTTACATTTTCATAAATGTTAATAATCTTTATTTTTTTATTTTTTAAAATTTTCCTAATTATTTATATATTTATATATTTAATATAGTCTTATTGCTAAAAAGTTGAAAACAAAGAAAAACTTTAAATTAGATTTTAAAACCAGATATTTAAAATGGATTACTGAGATACTTCCCTGAATAATAACCATCACAGAAAATTATGCCTCATGTCAATCATTTGTCATCTGATATCCTAAATTACAATTTCCTGTTATTTGATTGTTAGGAAAACGTTTTTATTTAAAAAACAATAAAAGATATTGTAGAATAAACACAACATCAGATCTACCCTCTTAACAAAGGTTAAATGTGCTGTATATTATTCTTGACTATGAGTACAATGTGGTACAGCAGATCCCTAGAACTTATTCATCTTGCTTGACTGAAACATTATGCTTGTTGATAAGTAACTCACTCTCTTCCTTCTCCCAGGCCCTGGCAAACGTCCTTTCCACTCTCTGTATGTATATACCACATTTTCACTTGGGATTTGTTTATTATGGAAAGCATAATGTTTAAATTAATCAACAAAATTCTATAGAATATAAAGCATAACATTTGAATTAGATGTCATTACAGGTAGTTCCCTCTTTTATATATTAAATATTCATGAAAATAACTATGAAAGCTAAATATTACATTTTAAAGTTGAAGTATAGATTAGAACTGCATCAATTGTGCTCTGATATAGAGCTCTAATGTATGACTATATTCTAACGTCCCACGCATGTTCTTTATTTGTTCTTTTGCTGTTCACAGTTCACCCAGAGACAATCAGATTAAGTCTAACGATCATAAAACTGAAACTAAAGAGTTGCTTCATTCAGCATTTTTAATGAATTCCATCTTTATCACAACTGCATTATGTTTAAGAGACATCTTTTTATGACTTTAACATCAGCACTTTCATTTTTCTATTTTCCAGTAACATATAAAATAAGGTAAAATTCAATAAAATATTCAATTAATGGCACAAATCACATACACTGCTGTATAGAAAAAGATGATGACATTGCAATAATTAAAATTTTGGCTCTCTGACAGCATGACCAAAGTACAAAAGTCCAAATTTACATATAAAACATGGTTTAACAGTAACAATACGTAATGTATAAATATATATAAAATGTATAAATATATAGATTATAAAAACTCACACATATGAAAGGGAAGATTTAGAAAGAAAAATTCTATTTCAAATGTGATGACATATTAACATTAAGAATACAGTAGAAAATTCAAATATTTCTTTGAGCACTGTAATTATCTATGAATTATTTAACTGCAATTGAAGAGAAAAATTATATCCATCCATCTTATTTTATTTTACTTCTCTTAATCTTCTCAATCTCAATAAATTACATCATCATTCTTTCAGTTGCTCAGACCAAAACTTTGAAATTATTCTTAATTCCTTACTTTTTCTTGCACCCCCACATCCAATATAACAGTAAACCTTATTGTTTTTACCTAGAATCTGGGCTTGGTTCATTGTTTCCTCTATTACCCTCCTTGTCCCAACAACTGTTTCCTTTTGCATTCATTGCATCTGTTGGCCACCTAAATGGTTCCCTGCCTTTGTTCTGTCTTCCATACCGCCAAAGTCCAATGTTAACACAGCAACTGGATTGATCCTTCTAAAACATAAATCATATCCTGCCACTTATCTGCCTCAAACTTTTCAATGGAAATTTACTTCATTCAGCCTAAAATCCAATTTACAATGGTTCACAGTGCTACATGCAGCCTTTTTTTTCAATATGTCTGTGACTTAATCATTCATTCACTCCCTTTCTGACTGTTTTAGCAATACTGGCCTCCCCATTAATCCTCGAACATGCTAGCAAGGCTCCCACTGTTTATTTGGCTTGGAACTATCTTTCCTCATACACATGAATGACTTGCTTTCTCCCTATTTGCAGGCTTTTACTATAATAACTTTTTAGCAATGCCTTCCCAAATCAGACTATATGAAATGGCAATAATACCTCTCTTAATGCTCTTTTTCACATAGCATTACCACTATCCTATGTACTTATTTTACTTATTTATTTGTGTTAGGTCTGTTTCTTCAAGAACCCAAGATCCCTAGAGAGCAGGTATTTTCCTATTTTGTTCACTGTTGTAGCAGCCCAACACTTAGATTAGTGCCTGTGACACAGTATATTTTCCATAAATATTTATGGAATGAATCAAGAACTGTACATTTATTTTTACAATATATCTATTTGGCAACTATTTATTGAGTAATGACTATCAGGCCCTCTTGACACTGTGATCTAGACCTCCCACACAGGTTGCCCTCCTTTCTCTCACTCACACTCTTCCAGTTCCCCACATCCCAGAAAGTTGCTTCTTGCTTACTTGGTGATGCTGAACCATCTGCAGTCCAAGAAAACCTCCAAACTTCTGCCTCCTCCTGTGAGTTACAAATAGACCTTATCCTTGGATATGCTGAAAGAAATTCCTAAGCCCTAGGAGCTACTCCTGCCTAGGGTCAGCTAACTGAAACTTAGATAACTTTCATGTCCCTGTAAATGCTCTTCTTGACCAGAAATGCTATAAACTCTTAAGTGAAGTTTATTTGTGTCACCTAAATTGTCTTCTTTAATCACGTTTAACAGATTTTGTAATGAGAAATGGAATCCAAAGCTGACAAAGGGCCTATGGGACAGAGACACACCAGTGAGGTGCCTGTAAGTTCTGCTGAACTGTAAATTTCCTCTTCCTCTCATTGGGACCGAGGGCCATAGGTAAGTCACTCTGATTTGAGCTCTACTCCCTTGCATGAAGCTCTTCAATCCAAAAAAATTTTATTGAAAAAAAATGAATATCTTGCTCCCAGAAAAATTCTGAGGCCATGGAAAGCTTCCAGAGTTTATTAAAATTCCCTGAAAGGTTCTGAGTCTTGGAAAGTTTTGGGAGATTTGTGAAAATATAAAAAATATGATATAATATAGATTATTTTGTGTGTGTGTGTGTGTGTGTGTATGTGTGTGTGTGTGTGTGTGTGTGTGTGTGTGTTAAAATTAAAATGTCAATGAAATGAACTAAGAACAAATGCTCTATCAGGTTGAGGAAGTACTCTTCAATTTCGAGTTTAAGAGTATTTTTTATTTGGAATGTATCTTGAATATTGTCAGATTTTCTGTTTATTAAGATGATCATATCTTCTTATTTTAGTTCGTTAATATAGTTAATTACATCAGTTGACTTTTGAATGTTAAAGCAACCTTGTATTCCTGGGGTAAAACCTAATTGAGTAGAATTCATTATCCTTTTTTATTGTTGGAATATATTTGCTAGAATTTTGTATGTAATTTTTGTATCTATGTTCATGTTGGTCTGTAGTTTAATTGTAATATGTTTGACTACTTTTGGTGTCAGAATAATTCTGTTCTCATAATATAAATTGAGAAGTATTCTGTCCTCCTAAATTATCTGTAAAAGTTTGTGTGGAATTGCTATTTATTCTTTTGTAGCTATTCGATAGAATTTAATAGTTGAATAAACAAGGCTGGGAATTTTCTTTGAGGGTTAATATTTTCAATGCAAATTCAATTCCTTAAAAGATAGAGCTATTTAGATTTCCTATAACTTCTTTTGTAAGCTGTGGTACTTCTGTCTTTAAAATTTTTTCTTTCATTTTGTCTAAGTTGTTAAATTTGTTGTTCAAAATTATTAATAATATCTCTTAAAATTCTTTTAATATTTGTAGAATCTAAAATGATGTAAACCTTCTCATTCCAGATGTTGTTAATTTGTGTCTTTTTCCCCCCTGATCATCTTGGCTGGAATTTTATTAATTTTATTGATCTTCTCAAAGAGCTGCTTCTTGATTTCACTGATTGTCTCTATTGCTTTATTTCATTTTTTCATTGATTTTTAGTTTGATCTTTATTATTTAACTTATTACTATAACTTTAATTTGATTACTTTTCTGTTTCTTAAGGTAGAAGCAGAAATCATGTATTGAGACCTTTCTTCTTTTCTTATATAGGCATTTAGTGCTATAAAACACCAAGCACTGCTTTAGCTATGTTAAAAGATAAACTGAGGCATCCAAATTTTCAAGACTTTATTTGAATAAACATCAATTATGTTGGGGCAGCATCAAACTGAAAGTGGTTAGAAGTACTCCTCTGACAGGAGCTGGGGAAAGGCTTTTATAGAGCAGACACAAAAGTAAAGCAAGAACATTATTGGATTTGGCTATAGCTTAAGCAGTTGCCTCCCTTGGGACAGCCTAGTTGGCTATTCGTGATTTGTTGTTCCTTAATTTTGTTTTTTGGAATACAAGTGCATTTGCAGGGCTTTATTCTAGCTTAGGTTTCTGTGTGCTTTCATCGGCTACCAGGGCATTAGAACCACCTCAATCTAATAGGCTCCTTGTTTAATTATTTTAACAGCTACATCCACAGTTTTTGATATGTGTGTTTTTATTTTCCTTCAGTTCAAAATATTTTCTAGGGTCACTTTGAATTTCTTCTTTGAACTTGTAGATTGTTTAGAATTATTTTATTGAGGCTCTAAATATTTAGGGAATTTCCAGACATCTATATATTTAGATATACTGATTTCATTTTCGTGAAGTTTAAAATAACTTCTATGTTCCTTAGGGATTTTTTTCTTTTTCACATATGTATTGTTTAGAAGTTATTTCAATCCCTTGAAATGTGTTGAGACTCATACTCATTTTATGGGTTAGCATATGATCTATTTTGGTTAATGCACTACGTGGATTTGAAAATGTTCATGCTGCTTTTGTAGTACCTAATGTTCTATAAATATCAATTAAGTCAATATGTCGATAGTGTTTTTCAGATAATTTATATTGTGATTAATTTTTAAAATATATTAATTCTGTTAAATCCTGAAAGGTGAGTTTAACTGCCTATAATTATGATTGTAAAAATGTTTATTTTTCCTTTAATTCTCTCAAATTTTGCTTCATGTATATATTAACAAACGCATTAATAATTTTTATGTCTTCCTAATAAATCAATGAATCATTACCATTTTTGATGATTTTTTTTTTCTTTCCTGGTGACCCAGGTTACTTTTTTTATCATTTTCCTCCAGCCTTGAGAACCTCGTTTAGTATCTCTCATAGTGCAGGTTTCTTGCTAATCACTCCTGTTATCTTTATTTTGTCTGAAAATGTCTTTATTTTGTCTTCATTATTTAAGAGTGTTTTCATGGAATATAGAAAAGTTAGTTGATTATTTTTCCCCAATATTTTAAAGTATATCAGCCTCCATATTTTCTGATGAGATTCAGCAGTCATTCAAGTGATCATTCCTCTGTATGTAAACTGTCATTTTTGTCTGGCTGCTTTTAAGTTATTTATTTCATGGTTGGAGAAATACTAAGCTTGGATGCTGGAAAACAAGATCTCTTCCACTTACTAGTTATAAAATGACTTTGGGAAAATAACTTAGAGTATGTGAATTTCAGTTTAATTATCTGTGAAATGAGAAGAAAAAAGAATGGGGCTTCAATTAGGAGAGTGATTAAAGGATCACAAATATCATTCTGAAGTTTTTGATTTTGTGGTTAAGTTCAATTTAGACATATTTTATGTACACATGCACACATATGTAAATATAATACAGATAGAGAGATCATTTATATTGAACTTGATTTTGATTTGCATTTTATACATAAAAATATGAAACAATTGCTCTTGATTTTGACCATTTGCATAGCTAATTCAATGTAGTGTTCATTCCACTTAACTTCTAGTTGAATTTTAAGTGTTCTGGGGATTAATTCTATCCTACTGTGAATCTTCAGGTATAGGTTATAAAATATAAATGAAAAAACAATCTTCTAGCAACCTCTCAACAAGTATACAAACAAGTTCTTAAAAAGATAATTTATTGACTCTTTATTTTTGGTATTAACATTGTTGTTACAGATATACCCGCTGCATAAATTCCCTCAAGTTCTATAAAAATATGGCATTTAGTAGAAGTTTGAGTAAAAAGTCACTGGTTAATTATTTGATTTTGAGCATTATAGATGTATTTCTTATATATTTTTATAGCATGTTCTTTAGCTTTGCATCCTCAAGTCGCCAGCAAATAAAGGTGGCAATCAGCAAAGGCAACTGTCAAAATAAATAGCTATTTGTTTTTATTTTCTTTATTTTAATTTTAATTTTATTTTTCTTTATTTTAATTTCTTTATTAATATCCTACTTTCCCTCCGTTTCTAAGATTTTTTTCATTCTTTCTTTTCTCTCTTTCTTCTTTCCTTCATTCCTTTCTTCCTTCTTTCCTTCTTCCATTCTTTCTTCTGTTCTTCCTTTCTTCCTCCTTCTTTCCTTTCTTCTTTCCTTTCTATCTTCCTTCCTTTCTTTTTTCCTTCCTTCTTTCCTTCCTTATCTTTCTTTCACTTTTTTCTCTCTCTTTCTCTCCCTCCCTCCCTATCTCCCTTCCTTTCTTCCTTCTTTTCTTTCTTTGCCATTATTTAATGGTAGTTCCTGTAGCTCCTGCTGTAAATTAAAACTCACCCCTTTCAGCATTGACATGATTGATATGAGTGACTCACAATAAATAAGCCTTAATACGTTGTGTTTCCCACATGATTTACTATATAGTTCTTGCAAACTGTTGATAAGACTAGTCATACATTTTAGATGTAGATCTTCCTTTGAAATTTTGTTACATAAATGTCATCTAGGACAGGTCTGAGAAATTTCAAACTGCGAAAAAAAAATTCCACACAATGTTGGCCAGTATATTCATGTAAATTATCTTATATATCTGCTGTGAGCCTCAATTTCCCTATCTGTAGAATAAGAAAATCGTAGGATATATCACATATATTTGATAGGAGTAAATAATACCTACAGTGCCAGTTATAATACCTGAAATAAATTAAGAATTAAAAATGTTCATTTGTTTCAGTCTGTTCTGTGAAAAAATTATCAAGTAATAAATAAAGTAATAAATAAAGTAATAAATAAAGTCAGCAATATGTTTGATTTTAAGCTACTTGGACAAATATTTAGAAATGCATTTTATATAGTAATAAGGTTAGGAAAAAATTAATTAAAATATTGTATTTACAATTGGCAATGTAAATATATGAAATGCCCTATAATGAGCTTTTTTAGAACATGAATATGAAGAGACATGCAGAGATGACTTTTTGAATAAGTGGAAATGTATAAACTGTATTTGGATATGAGTATTGAATATTTTTAAATATAATTTTACTAAATTAATATTTTAAATAATACAACTTTACTTTTTGAACTAGAGAAACTGTTCCTAAAGTTGATGTGAAAAGAGAAATATCCAAAATTAGTCAAAAAACTTTGTAAAAAACTACAGGGATTAAGATGGTGGCTGAGGAATTATTTCAGCTAGATATCAACTGATAAAGCTCCAGTTAATAAAATGAGTTATTGGTGCATAAGTAGGCTGACATCAATGGACCATAATAGAGAATCCAGAAATAACCTCCCAAACATAAATTGATTTAATCTATGGAAACTAGTGAGAAAAACATGGATTTATAAACATACGATGGTAAGAAATTGACTAGCTATTTAAGTAAATATGGATTCCTACTATATATCCTATTAAAAATTAATCCCAGAAGCATCAATTTAATACATGTAAAAGTGAATTACATAAATATTAGGAGAAATTTAAGTTTTCTTTCACATCTTTTACTGGAACAGACTTTTCTAAGGATGCATAGAATCTATAAAACACACACACACACACACAACCCAAAA